ATGGATATTCTGATTCTGACCATCCATCGTCCAATTTCTCAAGCCGAACAAAAGCATTGGCACGACATAAGTTCGATGAGTTGCACTGGATTGGCACTCTGCCACCTACCACACGACCAACCACAAACGCACGGATTCAGAAGACAGCCCTCAATCCTTTTCCAAACGAGCTACCCTTTTTACGCGCCTCATCGCCGAAAGCCTCCTGCAAAAGGCCAAGCACGGCTGCCCCGTTCGCCATGTCTCCAAGCTCCGCAACTTTTGGACCCCATTGGCATGCACCACCCACTCCATGTTGACGTGCTGCTGCAACGGCCGCCCCAAAGACCCTCTGTGGTCTCCCGCTTTCCAGCGCGGAAATTGATGCTCATCACCTAGTCTGGACAAATTTTATTTACTCTATTTCGTTCCTATCATACTCTACCCCTTGGCTCCAAGAGCACAAGTACCATACTTCGGACACTAATCAGACCTACGTCTCAAAAGTGTGCTGTTCTTTGTTTGCGGCTTCTGGACGGCGTGGCGACGGTAGTCCCTATAGCTCCTGTGCTGCTGCTCTTGCTGAACTTTCCTCGCTTATGCCGTGTAACGTAACTTTCCTCGCTTATGCCGTGTAACGTAGCTCGAAAAGTCACTATCTAACAGCTGTGTCTGTGAGATAGGTACCTGACCGTCGTCCACTGGTCCAACGAGAGAGAGACTGGCATAGACTCAGATATTGACTAACATAGTCCTATAGAAGTCGCTATCTGAAGCACGTGTCTAGCAAATATTCAAATGCTGGAAAATGGATTTGCACTCTCCATCTGCGTCGTCTGAGCAGTACATTGAGCGGTACATCGCTATCTCACGGACGTGTCTGCGAGATAGGTCACTTCAACGTCGTAAACGTGGCCTGATGAGGCTTCTAAAGGGACCTCATCTGAGCAGTACATTCAGCGGTACCTAGCTATCTAACGGACGTGCCTAGTCTGGATGAATTGATTTAGTCTATTTCTTTTCCTTTCATACTGTACCCCTTGGCTCCAAGAGCACAAGAACGATACTCCGGACACCAATCGGACCTACGATTGAAAAAGACTGGAGTAGAGCCAAGATATTGTCTAACATAGTCCCATCTGAAGATCGTGTCCAGGAAATGAATACGCAAACGTCGTTAACACTGCCAAAATGCTCATCTTACCGAACATAGCCCTAAAAGCTGGGCCAACGGCTCCCTCTCCCGCGTCGGTCTCATGCACTTTACATAAGCCGAGACACCAACTAACAGCATGCGTTCGAAAGGAATGCAATTGATCGCAGTGCGTTCAAAAGATTCGCCCATGTACTCGTCCATGAGATAAACCAACCTCCGCTTCTTTCTTGATCGACTGCGACGGACAACAACAACAAGCACCTACTTCAAACCACCTTATCCCGTTCCTTACCGCCTGCCTGCGACGTCCACGGAAACGTCTCTCCCAACCGCCGTTGCCAGCCATTTTGCTCATAAAGGAGGTGGTGCAGGCCACACACTGAACTGCATCCAGATGCCTTTGCTGTTCCAATTGCATTGCATCGTACACAACATTCTGCAGGTGAATGAAACGCCATCCCAACACGATGCTGATCACGTCCAAACGATCCGCTGGTACCAATGTCAAGAGTTCATCAACTGCATCATAGAATTCTTGGTGTCTCTCAAACACTTCCGTGGCAATGGCCGCGCATCTCTCTTCAAACAGATCTACTTCTCCCTCCTTCTCCACTCCAAGCACCAGAACCCTCACTCCGATCTTCTCCAGTCGCTCTGCGAAGCCTTGCACTGTTTTCAGGGCAGGAGCATTGAACACCACCAGCGGAGGATCTTGATTTCGGCTGCTTGTCAGCTGCACGGTGACAGCGGCCAGCAAGGTTGTTTTGCCCCCACCAGCAAAGCTAGACACCACCGTGACTGCTCCCTCGATCTCGGACAGCACCCGACATTGATCTGCGGAGAAGCCCTCAATCCCCAGCTCCGCCGCTACCCCTTGCAGAAATTCATCCCGCTGGAGTCCCAAATAACGATCCCAGACCGAGCTGCGGACAAAAGTCACTGGCTGGTTTAGACCCAGCCAAGCATTGAAAGCATTGGCTCGCAAGCCTGCCAAACCCTCACTTGACGTTGCAGCTAAACTACCAACATCTCCTTCCAGCATTGGTCTCAACCTCACCAATGCCTCGTACATGTGGATGAACTCGTGGATGTCTGCCAAGATCACCACCACCACCTGCGACCCCCGCTCCAAGTTCACCACAGGTTGCAAAGAAACCTGGTCTTGCCGAAAATTGCCCACGTTCGACACCAAGTGCACACTGCCTCGTTGGTACAAATCACTCTCTGGCGTCTCAATCCAGGCGCGCACCTGGTCCATTGCACAAACCCAAATCATCTTCAGTTTCCAGTCTCGGTTTCGCTCTTCGCTCATCAACAAAAGGCGGGTGACCTCCACACCACTGCGTTTCGGCTTCACCGTATCCCGAACGACTGCTGGATACGGGCCCCCCACATCTTCCGACTCCCGGATTGTCTGCTGCAGCTTTTTCTGCAACTGCCCCAGAAGGAGTGTCGCCATCCTTTGAGGTGAAGTCCGCACGCCACCCATAGGAATCCAGCTGGTCTGCACCCGACGCACACTGGTAATCCAGGTTGCCAAGTTCGTTCTTTCCGCTGGCCCCTCCGCCGGGCCCAAAAATTCTGCTATAGACACTCTAAACACTGGGTTTTCTGTCAATGTCAAAAGCCCTGGCTCCAAACTCCTCATCTCACGCAGAAACTTTGCAGCGGCCTCCAGCCTCCGCACATGCTGCCGATTGACCCCCGGCACACGATTCTCTGCAGCGAACTGCCCCGCCTCCTTTATCTTCGCCAACAGAAGGTCATGCCGCCCAATCAGGCTAGCGCATTCCTGCCCATCTTCCGGAAGTGCAACTTCACCCAAACACACGGCAGCGACATAGCCGTCACTCACGAGCTGTGGTTCCCGAATCGTTTCGATGAAACGATCCACCCGACAGACACGCACGGACATAGCCACATCTTGCCGCTCTACTGGGCCCTCACGCAGCCTCACATAGAGAGTCCGGAGCTCTGAAAAGGCAAAACCAGGAAACAGGTCTTGTAGAGGCACACTGCCCACCCGGTGATTGTATGCCACCAATGTCGCCATCGCTTCGCGCTACCCGAACACAATCACTCGGCTCCAAGAGCACAAGTTCCTGCGTCAGCTGATACAAAATTTCACTCGGCTCCAAGAGCACAAGTTCCTTCGTCAGCACTCCCTTGAAAAATTCATGTATGTTGTTGTCTTTGTCTTTCCCTCCGATACTTGAATGATACTGTTGCCCTACATGGAAAGCTTCTTTTTCTCTTGCCTTACCCTCTACCTCAGCTGTGAAGCCCAACTGCATCATTCGCTGCATGCATCTCGCTGGTCTTCTGCCTCTACACCTCTCGCCTTCTGCCGTATCCACAGCAACTGCCTCGAAAACATGACTACTGCTGCCAGCAACAAGCACAAAATGCCTGCGGCACAAAGACGCCGGCCATCCCCCGTTTTCGTGCCACACTTCACGTCTTCAACCGAAACAATCCATGCCTCTCGACATAAGCACAACTTCTTGCATCACAGCGTCACCCCACACCCAAACGGCTGCGGCGCAAGAACCCGTTTCTGATGGTCGTGGCGACCCTTCTGCAGCACTCTGCCTATGTTTCAAAAAATGGACCATTCCCTGCCTTGACGAAAGCCGTCCTAAAATGGCTGCAGTCTTTGAGCCCAAGCTTGTTTGAGAAGGACAGCGAACCCTACCTGGATCACCATGTCATCATCTGCCATGTTCGTTTCATACTGCAAACACCTCCCGCCTACAGATCCTTAACCGGCTCTGCAGCATCGGTCCCTAAATGGCTGCGGTCTTTGAGCCCAGGCTTGTTTGAAAAGGAAAGGACATTGCCAAGGTCAACCGTCCCATCGTGATACCTCCAGGGTGGCGGCCCTTCAGCAGCCACAATTACTTAAAAAGGCCCTTGAACCATCGCATACCACGTCATCCCTTCCCCTGATGACTCTGCTTCTCTCTGCTCCAGTTGGACCTTATCTTTGCATATGGAAGCTATGTTCAGCCACGTTAAGGGAGAGCCGTATGGACGCTATGCTCACTCCCTTGGCTCCAAGAGCACAAGCACCTCGGACTTCCTTCTGGGACTCGCTGGATGTATTGTCCTCTCCCCTCCGGTGCGGGCGGTTACCGTCGCGAAGCGACGTGAATAATCCCCTAACCCCCTCAGGGGACCATCTCATAAAACGTTTTATGCCATACCATGACCCCCTAGATTTTATAGAGGTTTCTGGCACAGGGATGTTTCAAGACTTTGGGCATCTTCTGCCATCAGTTCTTCGGGTTAGACCATCATCATCATCATCATCATCATGGTGTGATTCATGCATGCGCAAATCCTCAAAGATCCCAGAAGTCAAACCACCATGTCACCATGTCGACCAAACTAGGCTCCAATCTTGCGAAGCACCGACAAACGAGCCGTGGCTTCCCCCCTTTGACTGGCCATTGCGATGGAGAGCGGAGGCTGAGGAAGAAAACCCCCAATTTAGAAACTCCAGTCGGAGCAGAGCCCGGGGCCAGTCGGAGCCCTTCTTGCACCTTCTGCAGCCCTCACCCCTGACGCTTCGAACGCGGATTGAACCATCTCTGCTCCCCAGGCGAATCTGGCATAGAGATTTAGGAACTGAATGCCACACGAAAATGTCATTTGAGAACGTTTTGAAAACTAAGATAGCACCCCAAAAGGCACACTCACTCAGAGTTGACACGCATCATCATCACCCATGCTCCACTCTCCAGTCACGCTCCAGTTCTCAAAACCGCCGCTTCAACCACCACTTCCCCTTTCCCAAACCGCTTCAACCCGCTCCCCCCGGTCCAACCCGTTTCCTCCCGACCCGCCGCCGGTCACGCCCGGCCTCCGCGCCACGGTGAGCGCCTCCGCCAACACCGCCGCCTCGCGCCGGTCGATGGCGCTCCGCAGCGCGGCCACCTGGTCCCGACGTCCCCGGCCAAAGCGGCCGGATGACGTACATGGTCCATGTGGGTGGTCGCGTCACCGCGCGCCGTGGCCTTGCCCAACAACTGGTTTTGTTGGAATGATTCTCTTTTTTTGGGGGGGAGGGGGAGGTGTTGTGATTTTCATAGACATGCATTTGGTGCTGTCTGGGCAAGGTCATCCCTTTTTCCCGAAAGCATTGCGAAGGGTTCTTCCGGAAAATCCTTTGAACACTTACACTTCGACACTTACACTTACACACACACACTGGAAGAGCGAAAGCATCCAAGTGCGAAGTATGCCAGTGTCAAAGTATGCAAGTGTAAGTATGCAAGCATGATATGCAAGGGTAAGTATGCAAGCATGATATGCAAGGGTGAGTATGCAAGCACGCAATGAGTATACAAGCATGCAATGAGTAGGCAAGTGTGAGTATGGAAAACTAGCACGGGAGATGTCCTAATGAAAAAACATGTCCCCACTTTATAAATTCTCTCTTAAAGGCGGAGTGCGGGACGAACAGCGTCAACCGAAAGTGCAACCCTCTGCGGAGATCGTGCGTGTCGAGTGCGCGAAATGCAGGCGAGAGTGCGATTTGTCCGGTGCGCGCGCAACCCTCTGCGGAGATCGGGCGTGTCGAGTGCGCGAAATGCAGGCGAGAGTGCGATTCGCCGGCTGCGCGCGCAACCCTCTGCGGAGATCGTGCGTGTCGAGTGCGCGAAATGCAGGCGAGAGTGCGATGTGCCGGCTGCGCGCGCAACCCTCTGCGGAGATCGTGCGTGTCGAGTGCGCGAAATGCAGGCGAGAGTGCGATTTGCCGGGTGTGCGCGCGACCCTCTGCGGAGATCGTTCGTGTCGAGTGCGCGAAATGCAGGCGAGAGTGCGATTTGCCGGGTGTGCGCGCAACCCTCTGCGGAGATCGTGCGTGTCGAGTGCGCGAAATACAGGCGAGAGTGCGATTTGGCGGATGCCTGCGCAACCCTCTGCGGAGATCGTGCGCGTCGAGTGCGCGAAATGCAGGCGAGAGGTGTGGAGTATCTGGGGAGCTGGGAGATGAGCACTGGTGACTTTGTAGTACAACTGTAGTACGCGGAGTAGCTGGGGAGC